ATTAGCTTAAATTTTCAAGATGATTCGCGTAATAGTTTCGGAGAGACAGTCTGGAGAACTTTCGCGCTTGAAGCTAGCTAGTCTAAGTGCGTCGTCTTTAAGCACGAAACTGTGTTTTTGAAGTCGGTTGGCAAGATTTCTCGAGAACTACTCAACCAATCGTCATGAAATTTCACACATATCTTTGAGATACAATTCTTAAAGACTTAGACGTAAAATTTTTTTCGATTACAAGTATTTGAAAAAAAAAAAAATTTTTTTTGCGAAATTTTCAAGGAATTTTTTCTAAAAATATCTGCCAAAAAACCAATTTTCAAGTTTATTTTCACTTCGTCCAAGTTCTAAGTTAAGGTTTTAATTTTTAATTATTTTTTTCACTATACATGATCTGGTAAGGGGGTATCCTGCCAATCTGCATCTTTTTTCCGACGGATCCCCGGAAAGGTCGTCGGAATGACTGGACTCATGTAGACCTAAGTCGATCTGAGTAGTTTTAAACGTAGATATGTTTATCGAAACTGTTTTTTCAAAGTAGGCTCTCAAACACAGGTCTTCGGGATATAATTTGCAGTTACTCTTAAAAATAGAGTGATTAATTTTTTTACCAAAATGTCCTTCGTCTGTCTGAAATGACGTCGTAACAGAGAGTTTTCAATATTTTTATTTGAAATTTTTCTGCAAATCTTTGTAAAATACCCTTTCTAGGAAATCCATGTAATCTTTTAAAAGTCAAATAGATTGTAATTTGGCCGAAAACTAAGTCTCCCAAGGATTGTCCACAAGTGTTCTCAGATTGTTCAAATAAAACTATCTTGTATATTTACCTACGTACTTATTCCCAGCATAAATCAGTAAACATGACATTAAAATTTGGCCTTCCTGTGGGATAGGAAATCTTTGTGGTAACCTGTAAGTTCTACTGGTTTTTCTGTGATTTTAACGAAACTATATCAAGTCATTATAAAGCGCTTCCATTCCTAATGTGCAGAGATGCAAACATAAATACGACAACAAAACAAATCTGAAGGAAACAGTTTTGACTCATGTGCTAAGGGGTCTGTCGGGTACTTGAGGCACTTTCTGAATGATGTCATCTCTCGTCAACTCTCCAATTTTGGATACCAACGGGCGGTAGAGATGAGGCTTTGCTTTGCTTTGGAGAAGCTCATGAAAATAGCTAGAAATATATATATTTTATAGTATTGGAACAGTGTTTTTGACGTTCGATTGAAACTAAACACTAAGACAGCATGTGATTTCACCAAAAATGATCGACAGTTCCAAAATTTGAAAGAATATATAGTAATGTGACAAATATAGTATATTTGATAAATTTAATTTTTTAGCCGACGTAGAGCTGTTTGAGATCAGTTGAGCAGATCATTGGATAAAAAGGGCGTGGTTATTAATTAAGTACCAAAAGTATAATAATTTATAACCGAAACTCTCTCAAAAAATTACTCAGAAATCTTTTGGGTTTACCAAAAGTTTTAATATGCACATAAATTGTTTTAGTAATGGGTAAAGAGAGATACAAGAATTTCGAAAAAAAAAACCTAAAATCTTTAATTCGCTCAATCAATCATGTATCGATTCATGCTAGTATTCACCATATGAGTAATCCTTTATTCATTTATTTTTCTATCGTTTGTGCATTTGTCTTATGAATAATATTATGCTAACTGCAATCGTTGTTATGAGCTTTGCTGCGTAAAAACCCAAACTCACGTGATTTCACCACATACTGTTGTGATAAGGCTCATGCACCCCTATGCTTAAATGCAGCCTTGGCGATTTGCAATTTTTTGAATAAAGCGCGCTCCTTGTTCCAGTTCCGCATAAGACGCGACTGCGCATTGCACCTGCATTTAATTAAATTGCATATATTTTTTCCGTAAATTTGAGTTATAGAAGTATTTGTGAGTTAGGTTATATATGTATTGCGGCATAGGTATGTGTTGTGGCCCCAAGCCGACTCTGTCACTCCAATAACACTTAAGCATTTCTCACGTATGTATGTACAGTTGAATCTAAGAATTGATAATATTTTCTAAACAGAAGCTCATTTGCAGAGCCGGGAGAAAACGTCGATGTTATTGCTGCGGAACAATAAACCAAAAGTTACCTAAAATTGATTTTATGGAATATTAATATGTATGGTGCCTATATTTTGAGCTATATTTTTATTCTACCGAAGATTCTGAACGTTAACTACATATCATGGATTGTATGGCTTTCTCATTTTTCCAGTAAACGTGCGAAAGTTCTCTGCTTACCTAAGTAGCGATCACCGTACTTAATAATCTCTGATCTGCGCCAATACTTCGCGTCATACCATAACTTCCTTAGGTATATCCTTGATCAAATCAAAGAACTTTTGACAGCTCCAATGAGCTACAGTTTTTTTTATAGAAAATGGTAATTTTATTAAAAATAAATTAATAAAAAGTTCGTTTAATGCCAGGCCAAAAAACAGTTGGAAGATTCTTATTAGGAAGATTAGGCATATTTTATTACTTTGAAGCCTTAGCACTCATTGTTAAAGTAATTTTTCATTTAATTTAGTCTGCGTTGAATTTCCTAAGTACTAATTTTATTTATTTTTTCAGCCTTGGTATCATTGCTTTGCGCTAGAGAATTGTGACACCTATTGCTTTTAATATCACGTTATCACTGGAAAACTATTTCGATTGTGTGTCAGGTACAGCGAAATGTCCAACAAATTGACAGACTCCATAGAAAATATAAACATTTCATAAATTTTAACAGGAATTCGCTGAAAGGGATACAATAAACAACAATTTAAGTGCTCTTAGCTCGTTCACAGTGTATTGAAACATTTTATATTCGAATTTTACTTATTAGAAAAATTAAAAATAAGGCAAGCAGAAAAATGTTTGCGTTGCAACACTGGGAACACAAACCGCACTCGTGTGTATTAGAGCCAAATAGCAACCAGGCGAACATAAATAGAAGCGGGCAATTATTGATCCTCTTGTTGATGCTCTTCATAATTATATGTGTACCTGTTGCCTATTGCTCAAGCAATGCTGGCGATGCGTAGCCTTGAAAAAGACGAACGGATAATGTGTTCACTGTGCAGATTAGGAACAAAAAACATGAAACATACTACGAACAACTCAACGTTTCAAATGCCAATCGCACTCAAGTACATTACAATAACAATAATAGTTAGAATGCAGTTTTATGTGAAATGTCCGAATAGTGAAAGAAATACTAGTAACAACTTTTTACCGTCATTTGTAATTTTGCTGGTCGCCTGGTAAGCAATATCTGAAAATATATGGGTGTTGCTTCTTTACTTTCAATACTACGTAAGTGTTCTTGTTCTTCCACTTCTTCAGAGAAAACAAATTGCAAAATTCAAGCAATTTGATTTGTTTGTTCAACCAGGCGGACATAAATGGGGAAAAAGTGCGGAGCGATCTTCCAAAAGTAAATACTTAAACATTGGTTTACAACAATAAGTGTTATTCATATATATTAAGCCCTATACATATTAATGTTCTTAGTACTCAGTTATATCATGTTTAGTATATACCTACATACTATATAGTTTTAATATATGTATATATTTATATTATATTATATATTGTAATAATCACACGTAAACAAATATAGACTGTTTATTTTCCTTCCTCATGTATCACTTTTACTTCATTTATAATCATGTTCGCCTAGTACTTTATTAGACAACCCCCATTATGACTTTGAGTGATCAGAATTCGACAACTGCACAAACCGCACGGCTACGGCTACTATATAAATAAACTAGTTGACAACTACTAATATATAAGGCACATATTTAACAACACAACAAGGAATTATGAAGAAGAGAAAGAGCGAAAAAGGAAGAGCTATTCTTTATTGTAAAGGAGAGCATCACATATCGGACACAAACAAAGCGCTGCTACTTGCCCATTGGTCACTCTCCATTAGAGCAATTTGCGTTTTTCTTTTTTGCACGCGGCAAACGCACTGAGCGATAGCGCAAAGGATCGCTTATTTTTTGCATTACACATTTCAAAGACAACAAAGTCATGTTGGTAATTTATTTGCATGTGCATCTGCTACTTTTCTGTTCGCCTAGTGCAACAGCTCACGAAATTATAAATTTTACGGCGTGCATCCAGCACGGCCTTTATAAATTTTTTTTTTTTTAGAAAAATGTTTTTGTGCGAAATTAGACATTTACTGAACTACTAGGCGAACAGCAAAGGACCGAAGGTCGTCGTCTAATGCTATAACAAATATTACTTTCGGCACTAAAAGCTATTACTTGCTGGACGTTTATGTTTACTTGGTGCATTACAGACGTTAAATATTTCGTTTTAAATAAATTTTTAATCCCAAGTAGAAGAAGAAGAATGACAAAACTTGCAAAACGTGTACTAAACTAATTATATAATTACTAGGAGAACAGAAAATGCGCATACGCTGGCTTGAGCATCCAGCCACACATAATGGTTATTTTCAAATTTCGGTGATCTACCAACAAATTATTCGTTCCAATTTCATACGCAGGTATGCTGGCTTGCATAGCGGCATTATCACATTGGAATGTTAAGAATGTGTAACAAGAACAATTTGCATGACGTATTATTCGGGGATGTGCAGTTAGTGCAATGCAAAGACAAAAACAGAGAGAGAGCAAATGGAGCGCATATGCCTATGCTATATTTTACTTTGTAAGTAAAGTGAGCGCATAATTGCTTTTGCTGTGTTGATCGTAATTTTTGTAATGATTTTCTATGCACTAAGAAACAACACAAAAAGCAATTATCAAACAAATTATTTATACGATGCCTGCGTAAATGGAAAAGGGTAATAATACAATTATTTAATTTTTCATCTATTCATACTTTTTTTTCATTTCGGATACTTACCAGTTTTTACAGCACTAAAATTAAACAGCACAAACAATCAAAAAATCATAATTTTATTTATTTATTTTTATATAATATTTTGCGAATTTTATTCAAATAAAATAAAAATGTTGTAAATTGAGTGAATCTTGTTTGATATATTTCTTCTGGTTGACAGACTTAAGAGATGTGGTGTATGTGGTGGGCCATTCATATCTGAAATAAGAAAGTAAAAGATGGCGTTGAAATAAAATTAAATACGGCTAGTGTTATAGAATGTTTTTGTATTTCTGAGTAATTTGTGGGACTATTGAATGTTTAAGTTGATATGTAAGCGCGATCGCAAGATCGCCAAAGTGGATAAGTGGAAAGTCATATCATTGATACCTTATTATATATATAGGGGTTTCATTAGTTTTATATTACAACGAAGCGAAAACATAGCGTTGAGATTTTTTATACATATGTAATCCAGCAACATTTTTTTTCTGTATGTATATAATGTAAAAGGGAAGTCTGTTTGCCAGGAATCGTTTCTGTCGACGAAACCTATTATACTCCCGTGGGTGTTTTAAATACATAAAATCAGTTGGTATTAGATTTCCGCCATTTGAAATAAAATATTTGTTATTTTGGGCATTATCTACAGATCAATTTGGTTTGCAAGTTAGTAGCTATAAAAATGCATTAGAACAATCAAGAAATACTTAATTATGACTAAGTTAAGAACCACAATGCTTTTATCATCTAAAAGGTGAAACATTAGTTTTACAAAGACCTTGATATCCACGTGTAACTGCCTCAAGTTAAAAGCTGTGCTGGATATGTAATTGTCGTGTTCCATAATTGATTGTTAACTATTAGAAGAAGCAATAATTTGCAGTGAGTATCCATATACAAAAAATAAATTGATTACTAAATTAGCTTATATGAAAGACGCTTTATTATTAAAAACCTGCTCTCGACGAAAACATGTTTTATGGTACCCCCTTCAAAAGAGAGCAAAACGTGGCAATATTTGATGATTTTAATACTACTTTGAGCACGTTTTAATTTAAATTTCGTGCGGAAACCCACTCGTCGTATTATTATTTGTTGCTAGGTTCGTATGACTGGCAGTGATATTTGTGTCAAATTTCACATCAAAGTAATGATTATACGGTTGTCTTTCAGAAGTGTACAAGTATAAAGAGCATTCGACGATTCTTACGAAGAGTGAAATTATTCAACAAATAAGTTCCATTAAATTTTATGTGTGGAATCAAATTTCTGGTGCCGAAACGTTCGAAATGGAGAAAAAGTCTTTCAATAATTCTTTGACGCGAGCAAGTGTTTTTGATCAGTACAAAATTTTCAAAGAAGCTCGAGAACGAGTGTTGATCAACACGTCAATAATATAAAGAAATTGGTACTTGAGAATCGGCGATTAGCAGATAGAGTTCTTACTGGCATCTTTGGAATATCGGAAGTGAAAGTGAAGTTAACGTGAAACAATGCCTTCCGACTATCAGGATGTCATGAAACGTATTATTACTGGCGATGAGGCCGAATATCGTGGGGCCAAGGAGGATTACTTTGAGGAGAACGACATAGATTTTGAAGAATAAAATAAGAATTGTAAAGTTATGAACAAAGTTTAACCATTTTTTTGCTCATAGTAGCTCAATTTCGAATATATTTTTATAAAAATCTCACGCCACACAACAAATTCTTTTTTTTTTTCATTTGATCTAGAGGATTTTTACGGTAAGACACTAAACTTCCACAAAAAGCGAACCGGGATATTAAATATATCTGGATACAAGAGAAAACGAAGCTTCTAAGAACGTAGTATTATATGTGATATAGATAGTTTCAAATCTTGTTCAATCTGAGATTTTAATACTTTTCAGATATCTATAATTCGATTCCAACTGTATATAGGCAAGCCTACTTCTTATATATTTTTATAAAAACCCCACGCTACACAACATATTAAACTTTTTTTTCCATTATATCCGTTGATAAACAAAGTTTAATTACTGAATTAGCATACCTCACGGATTCTCCCCAAAACAGAGGGGTTGCAAAAGATTTAAACAAAATTGAAATGAAGAAAAAAAAAAGCTAATTTGTGAAATGAAAGCACTCATCGGCAATAAATAGCCTGACTTATGACTGCAGGTGTGCAAAACTGCAGGCAATCACGCTTTACAATGGCGCTGCAACTTGCATATGCATTGAAAGGCAGCAACTGCTGTATCTGTGAGTGTTGCCAACGCCTTGCGTAAGCGTGTGTGCGTTTTTATGTTGTGAGTTAAAAACCGGAACAATTATTTCGCTAAACAAAAGTAATCAGTTCGCTATCGCTTTCGCTGGCCGGAAAGGACACTTCTAATTGAATGCCACAAAGCCGTAGGCTGGGTAAGTGACTTGCAACAGTGGCTGTAAATGCCAACGGTCATGTGTATTTGTGTGCGAACATGTGTGCGTGTAAACAAACACACACCCGGCAGAAGTAAACCTGTGGGAATAATTTTTCAAGTGAATGACCAAATGCAGGCATTTTCGCTTTTATTTGACTGTTGCGAAGGCAATTAAGTCGCTGGAGATTGCTTTGAAGCCGTTTCACAAGAGTGTGTGTATGCGCTACGTATGTCTGTATGTGTGTGTGTGTGTTCGCATATCAGTCAGTGTCAGCAGTGTCACTGTCACGTGGATTTGCATAATTTCAAAATAAATGTTTGTCGAGGGAGGGCTTTTACTTATATTATATACAAGTTTTACTCATATGTATATCGACATATATTTATACCCTTAACAGGATACATATGTATGTTAAGTTCTCTAAGAGAATCGTGGGAGATCTTATAAAGATCGTAGGTATTAAACACGAGCTGAGTCGTCATAATCGTGCCCTTCCAACCGTCGTTTATATGAGCGTATTAGTCTCTCAGTTTTTGCGTTATCATTCTGAAATTTTGTACTCGTCTTTTTCTACTCCAGAAGCTGTTCATTTGTCGGAATCGCCGGTATCGGGCCACTATAGCATAGAGCTGTCATACAACGGACCGTTCTAAGACAAGTTCTTATATGGAAATCTTTTCCGTTTGAGAAGATATTTGCACGCAAATTTGCAGGGATCATGGTCTAATATAGTGATGCAATCTGCGAAGAAATTGTTGATATTGTTATTGTCGAATCACTATAGCTTATAGCTGTGGTACAAACTGAACGATCCAAATCAAGATCTTGTATGACAAAGTTTTTATTTGACCAAATATCTTGACTAAATTTTGCTTATAATATTGTCATAGAGAATAATCCGATCAATCTCTGAATATATTGTTCAATTCGGACCACTATGGACCACTATGGACTGCTGCTGCCATACAAACTGGCCATTCAAAATATAGTTAAAAGTTTTTTTTATACTATTTGCTGTAAGAAAGGCAACTGTGTAGGGTATTATAACTTCGGGTCGTATATGCAAGTACAACTGGGATACAATGAAGGGATTATGCACTCTAAGAATTGAGCGACAAGTAAGAAAGCACTGAGCTGCTGCTAGCAAGACATGTATGTATACATATATGTATGTATGTATGTATATGTATATATGTATATCAGTATAAAAATCACATCCGGTTTTTGGTTCCAACAACATTCACCTCAGCTACTTAATTATTGCTGAAAGCCATAAATATCTGTGCATGTGTATGTGTGTGTTTGCGGGTCTGGCATGCCCAGGAAGTCTTCAAATCATTTAAATAATAACGTTCGCGCTAAGCAAATAGTAACAAGCCGAAAAATATCCCTTTACCGGTGTGCAGAACACACACATATTTACGAATGTATAGTCTTACATTTTTGTATGTGTGCGTGTTTGTTTAAGATTTGTAATGTCTTCTTGTGTCACCAGTCGCTCCAAGTGTTCAGCTTAGCGACGTTGCAACAACACAACAAGTTCAAAGCACGCTAACACTTCCGTTCGGCAGCTAGAGTGGAGTATAAGCACACATACACACGCACATAGCTATGCATTATATATGCATACATACACACATATACGCACACACATGCATGTAAATATATTGTAGAAAATCACACGTGTCTTGCACTTTTCACATAGGCCTAAAAGACAGCAAAATAAAAACACACACACACACCGCTACAAATGCCAAAGCACTGCTCACACACTCGAAACCGATAAATGATATAATCCGTCCTTTTGATATGAAAATTCATTATCATACACTAACAATGCCATTTGGTTTTAATTTGCTTTCGCTCCACTTTGCACCGCGCCATAGCGTCTCTCAGCAGCAAGAGCCGTCAAGGAAGGTGAATGTGTTGTCGCTGCCGAGCGGAAATGAAAGGTTAATGTATGCAAATGGTAAGGTGTGCAATGTAGACGCAGAGCCTCCAGGTAGGCAATATGCAAAAAAAGTACAGGGAAACAACAACACAAACAAACCATAATGATAAATATATAAATAAAGCAAAAGAGCTATCGAGTTCGCGCTCCACGTCGCGGCTCGGATTTAAGCAGCAAGCGCGGTGCCATAAAATCATAAAAAATGTTGCTTCGGCTTTTAAGTAGCCTATAGACTATAACAGGCACATGAAAAAAGGGGTGAACACAAATATTGATATTTATGTACTTAGACACTTACTTACATACAGACATACTAATATGTGAGCACCTAAAGCGCGTTGCTGTCTTCGAGCTGTTTTGTTAATTAGTGAACCTTTCCCATAGCAAACCTTTTGGGCTTGTGATTGTGGCAGCTCAAGTGTCCATGTAGCGCGCTTCCTGACACTTCCGCCTCCAGTCTCTATTCATATACCTGTGTTTGAAGTGAGAAGACACGATTTATAATTCTTTTGCAATGTTTTAGTTGTATATAAAAAAAATTAGTTATAAATCTATTTAATTAAATATTACTAAGCACAATAATTTACTAAATTTAAATGATAAAAAGAAAAATTGAAAAAAAAAAAAAAAAAAAAAAAAAAAAAAAAAAAAAAAAATATTTATAAAATATAAATTAATAATCGGTTGTATGGAAGATATCTGATATAGTTGTCCGATCTTGCCGATTCTGACAAATGATAAATAGAATATTAAACTGTACATACGTATTAATTTACATTGGAATATTTCAAAAACTGAGAAGCCAAGTTTTATAATCCCTCAAATAATTCGCCTTAAAACTATAGAACCAGGTTTTTTAAGGTTAAGGTTAACCGGTTTTACACACATGGACTTTCGTACAAAGTTCTTTATATGTAATCATCTGTAGCGCATTTTCCGCAAACGCGATTTTTTTTGTAGTTTTTTGGCTCCATGTGAATGGCCCGCTCTAATGCATATGCCCCAAATGTTTGCTTAGCAGTAACCGCATACGCACTAAATTGGAACCCTTTCCTTCTTTCAATATTTCCAACGAACCGCCCCATTCTTAACTACGCATGCGTGCAAACACTTTGCGGAAGTCTATTGTCGTCTGAAATTTTCAATAGTTTTTTTTTTATTTGCACAAGCAATTGAGTTTAAGTAGCAACAGTTCAAAGCGGAAGTGCCATTTTTTTTTCTTTGCTTAACCGAAAATATGAAAATTGATTTCGAAGACTTCATTAGTAAAACAATTTAATGGAGATATGTCTATGCCGCCTTAGGTCTAAAATAGAGTTATTTTATGTTTAGATGGGGTTGGTTGTCTGCTCACAGCGGTATTCAGTAGAGCTGATGAGTTTTCTAGGATACGTACTTTCGTGTCAATAACTGCGGAATGAGAACGGGTAGGAGCTCTATTGGCTTCTTGTGGTAGGCCTCATATTAGCTTAGAAAGTTTTGGTCAACTAACAGCAGCTGTGCAGTGTCGCAAGTTTGTTCTGGCACGAGGAAAGTCGGAAGAAGTCTAGGGAGCTGTTCGCTCGTTCGCTCTCTTTTCAGTGGTTTGCGAGATCAAAGCAAAATCTCTTCGGATCTTGTACAGCTAGGCATCCAGGTGAAGTAGCGAAAATATAAAGCAAATACCTTTGATATAAATAGTCTCTGAGTAATCTCTTTGCCAGCTAAGGCATTAGCCATCTAACTTAAGCAATATAGTTTTTAATAATCATAAAAAATCAATTGGCTAAATGTTAATGAGTTCGAACGAAAAATCGACAAAATTAAATGACTAAGAAACCAACAGTTTGTGCAACAAAAAAAAAACTTCGAAAGAACCGAAGCTATGACAGCTTTCTTAAACAAATTCCACAGGCACAGTACCAAATGTTCCCGTGCCATTGAGACATAGAAGTGCCCGTAGTGTTAGCTGGCGCATCTATTGAAGAAGACTCAAATCAGTCTCCCACACGTCGTTCTCAAGCGTTGGGCATCTCAGTGACTTTGTTGTCGTGAATTTTGCGAAAGGATCTTGGCCTACATCCTTACAAGATCCAATTGTCGCAAGAACTGAAACCGCTTGACCCCCAGAATCGTCGTGTATTCTTGAATTGGACTGAGAAACAACTTGAAAATGATAAAGATTTTCATGGAAAAATCATCTTCAGGTTCATTTGAAGGCTGAATGACTGAAATGAATGTAGAAATGGCGAATCGAACACAGCATCTCATACACTTTCGATATGCCTAGTCTAATTTTGTTTCTTTATTTAAACAATTTATTTGTTTCTTTGTCGGAAACATATGTCGAAAATGCTAATTGAATTATCAACCTAAATGAGATATATGAGATTTAAATTAATGGTGTACAGCCGACCGAATTTAAAATTTAAAATTTTCTCTAAGCTAAAAATGTTTCCCTGAGTGGAGAGACTCAACTGCTTAGCAATATTTTCCGAACATTTGCGAATTTCATTAATTTAAATCAATTAATTTGTTTTCAATTATTATTCACAGGCTTACCGAATTACAGTTACGCGTACTTCCCTTCAATTTTGCTGTGATTGTAATGCAATTGCTGTTTGGCAATTATTTCGGCGTTTATTTCAATCAAAGTATTAATTTATCAAATACGAACGAATTTATGAATATGTGTGTGAGTATATTTACTCTATACACTCATCCAATATTGCAATTATAATCTAATAGGCCACTACTGACTACATGACTACATTTGATGAGTGCTCATCAAGCCGAAATAATAAAGGACAAGGAACGAAGAGTGACTGCGGCTGCGGGTGAATTGAGCAATATTGACATATATAAATTTGTATATATGTATGTATGTGTGAGTGAGTACAAACAAATATACACAGATGTTGAAAGGAAATCACTTTTTAATGCAACAACTTCGCTTAAAGTGCTTGGCAACAACAACTACCCAAGCGAAGTCATCGGCTCATGGAACAAATTGCAGCGCGTTTTATTGGCGAGTATTTTCCCATATCCGCGCAATTTCCAACTTCAAAACAACTTATAAGAGTGATATTTCCTCGGAATTGACATGCAGGCAGACACTTGATGCCGCCAGCAGCCGTCGACTGTCGCCGCAGCAGCAACATTAAATGCAACCCACTTTAACACTGGCAGCGCTTCGTTGGCGGAGCAGGGAGTGATAGGGGTGCCAAGGCAGTAAATCATTTTGGTTGAATATTTACTTAATGCATTGTGCTATGCCGGCAGTTATTGAGTGTCCGTTTCGAGTGCGAATAAAATCGTAATCGACCTTTTCGGGCCGACGCGTGAGAAAACGCCGCAACAATCAATGTTTAGTAGCAATTAATTCAATAGAAAGCGATTCGTTCAATGTGCCAATTGTCAGCACACAAACACCAGTAACAAGCGGCAGTTAGAGCACAAATCGCATCCCTCACAGAATATATGTGCATACACCGTCTTTCTCATACTCTGTTCGTAGTGCAAGACAGTGGCTTATGAAGGAGGGTGCGAGAGGGGGTTTATGGACCCTCTTATACGTAATAATGCATTTTAGTATGATAAAGAATTTCATACTAGGTTGAAGTAAAAAATGTTAAGGCTCTGAAGTACGGAAGTCATTTTGTGAGAAATGCTTCTTGAATATCTTGTAATGAAAAGTCTTCTAAATAAACGGAATATTTAAAATCTCAGTTAAACTAGTTCAACAAAATTAAAGCTAAAGAAGAGCAATGTACTCAGAAAAGTTTCACATGTAGGTCTTCTATCGATTATATGGTTTGAAAAAAGTTCTTGTTCCAAATAATTTAGACTCGGAACACCATTGTACCCTTACTATATATTTCATAAACCACAACAAACCATGGTATTTAAGAGTTTCAGTAGATTCTGATAACGCATATTTTAAGCATAGAAGAGTTCCCGAAATTTTTTTTTTTTTTTGGTTATCGAGATGGAACTGTGGTACGTAAGCGTCAATACTGCTTAAGTAACCAAAATTACAGGTTGTACTATATTTTATAACCAGATTAATCAAAAAGGTTGGTTGAAGGTGTAATGGAAAATTGGAATATCTTCTTTTAAATAGAGAAAGATAGATACAAGTTTCAACAAACAGTTTGAACAAAAAGCCAAAAAATAAAAGAGAAAATAAGAGAAGAAAATATTTAAGAAATAAAATATAATACTTGGCATCTCGATCTCTCACTAAGAACTGTTCTATGAAAAATTTTGTTGAATACAAAGCGACTATCAGGTAATTTCTGGAATGTTCAAGTGAAATGTTTTTATGTAAAAGAATCTGAGGGAGGTTATGCAAGATCAGTGTTCCGATGATGCTCTTCCTTTAAACTATACATCCCTTATAGAAGAAGAACTTTTTTAGACGAAGACGAGCAAGAGCGCGAGCAATCCTCTCTACCAAAATGTCACTACGCCACTGAACGCCGATAAATTTGCTTTCGTTTTGCTGATTTCCGCATTCAAACGTCGTTGAACAAACTCATAGAAAATAATTTACCCACGCTTTTAGTAGTTTTCGATTTCAATAAAATACGACTGTAAAGCATAGTTCCGGGGTGCAGCGACGGTCCGAATGCTGCACACTGCACTCTATCGCGGCATCATCAAGCCACCTCAACGCAAGGCTGCGCCCTCAATTCAATCAACCTCAATCGAGCACAGCCGACATTTATCCGCCGGCCGAGCTTAAGGGATGATCCCTTGCTGTGTTGCGTGGCAGCTATTGTTATTTGTTGTTTCAAACACGTGACAACCAGCGTTGTTTTCGTGGCCATAAACTTGCTTAGCATAATGCCGTTAGTGTAATGTGGTGGCAGGCTGCCAGCGTATGGGAAGAAATCCTCCCACGGGACTCAATTTATGCGCAGTTTTCGAAGAATATCGCTTGATTATAACCAGCCAACGCACGGACGGACGGCACAATGGTTGACGCTTGTTGGGTGTTGGTTGTTGGTTGATGGTTGGATATGCTCATCCACTTGGCTGTTTGTTTGTGCGCTTGGTGGTTTGTTTGTTGTGGATGATGGTGGCCGCCGGAGTGGTTGCCACTGCTGTGCCTCACACKCTGACTTCGTGCTTAGCTATTGTAATTGTTGGTGTTGTTGCATTGCAATATCATTACAACATATTTTATCACTCAACATTCACTAATGTAGAAATTTGTTCTGGTGTTTTATGTTTTTCATTTCCATGTGCTTGCCGTGCTTCCTGTTGTTCCTGGCCGTTTGTTTGACTCCTTGCCGCATCCTCGTTTACCATTGCGCCATTGTGCCCTTTGAAATTTGAGCGTCGTTAGCGGAAAGCAACGCATATCTCGGCCATCTCGGCGGCCTGCCCTTGTAAAGCGCATCAATTAAGCTGACAGCATTTCACTCGCTTTTATTCGGCACGGTTGTGTCGGCGTGGCAACCACTGCAGCCGATCGGCTGTGCCTGC